GTCCCGAAGCTATACGGTTCAAATCCACCAGATGCTCTGTTGCAGAAAAAGGGACAGTCTCCTTCTGTGCCAGTCAGATCCAGTTTCATGGCTCACAACAAGAGGGGGGAAAAAAGAAAATAAATGAATGAATGAATGAATGCTTCTGAGAAAAAAACCAAAACCCCAAAACTTTGTTTGATTATTCATATGTTCATCTGTCTGATTAGATTCCTGTATTTTTGTCCTTTCTTCTGAAAATGAAATTTTTAACATGATGGTCCTTGCTACCAAAAATGTTGATCCTCTTTATTTTCCCTCTTTCAGAAGTGTTTTTTTCTTAACGACGATTGGTGAAAAGTACTGAGTACAGTAAACTTGTTCTTTGTGAGATTCTTTATCTAGATATTAGTGTGTTGTTGTTGATTGCCTTTGAGTCGAGCATGACTCATAGCAACCCTGTGAACAAAAGGCCTGAAGCCCCTTTATAACTATGGGCATTTATCAAAGTTCATAGAGTGTTCAGAGGCACGTTATTTAGGAAGTGGATGCCATTCCTGCTTCCAAAAGGTATTAGTATAGAACTGTGAAATGCCTTTAAAGGAGGGTTGAGGAAAATACACTACTAAAAATATGGGAATGTTTCAGTCTTTTAATATTTAATATTCATTAAAAGTACTTTTATTGATGATTAATGTTTTGGGCTTGTTTCTTTTTTACTCTTTGAAGGAGGTGATTAAAGTGACCAGTATTTGCATCCTTATTTAGGTAGAGGGTTGATTAAAGCCATGAATCTTACATTGAGACTGACCTGTTTCTGCCTCCATATTGTATTTTACCTGTAAGGGTCTTTTACTTACCAGTTTTTTATTGTTGCTTCTCTGCTATGTGAGAAGAAATTTAGATCATTTTAGTTGCAGTGATTAAAGATACCATTCAAGCTTAGAACTTGTCTAAAATGCATAGGAATCACACAGCGTACATGCAGTATGAGTCTTGTTTTTTCCCCCCTGTGGATTTAATGGTCCTTCTGCATTAATTTTTTAACATTTAATTTTGATTCTGAAGAGTTTGTGCTTCTACACTTCTGAAATTAAAACAAAATCAGCCCTAAATTGGCACAGTTATAGATGCCCCTATATTCACCTTGAGTGCAGCATCTTTTCTTGGTTACTGGATTTCGATAAGGTGTGAAATAGAAAAATTATTCCAAAATTAGAAATGTTCATAATTATTCTAAATTTTAGGATAAATAATTTTTTTTAAATTTTATTATTTTGTTTGTGTGTGTGTATGTACCGTCAAATCATATTTGACTGGTACAGGAGGAGATGACCCCTCCTTCTCCGGCAAGAGTGTCTGGCGGATTTGAACCTTGGGGATTGCAGTTCAGCTTCTTGCCACTAGGCCACCAGAGCTCCCCTAGGATAAATAATTTTTACATAAATACATGGCAAGTGTTCCAGAAATGTATTTAACTTCAAAATGAAGTTAAAAATCATACTGTATTTAAACATTGATTTTAAAGTCCTATCTATCACAAGTTGCCATCAGGTTGATTTCAACTGATGGTGTGACCTCACGTGTTGAACTCTGTTCCATAGGGTTTTCTTAGTTGTAATCTCAGTTGAAGCAGGGTTGTGTTTTCCCTCTTCCACAGTACCTCTGAGTGGATTACAACTGCCATCCTTTAGGATAAAAAAGGAGCACAAATAATTTGTGACACCTCTGGGGACTGGTTTAAATAGTAGTTGATAAAATCCAAGTTGTTTACACAAGAATCTTTCTTATAGAAATGTATTAGCAGGCTGCCTACAAAGAATTAAGGAAAAAACTTGAGAACTCATCCTGAGGGATTTGATCATGTGGGAATAATAAATCAAAAGTAATTTTCTGTTAATTAAAATTTAACATATACTTACCATATAACATAAGAATTTTTTACTGTCTCCTTTCAAGTGTTCAATTTAATTTTTATTCAGTTAAATAATAAACCTCTTTCTTTTTCTTTTCCTAGAACAATGCCGCAGAAGAGGTTGAAGAGGTAAAAAATAAATAAATACATAAAAGCAAACAAGCGGGGACACCTGCAGTCTTAGTCACTGACAATGGGCTTAGGAAAAGTTGCACATTAGAGTCAAACCCCTTCCTTTTTTTTATTTTTATTTTTTTTTTAAATCCAGTATTTAGGGTAATATTTATGCTTAGTGTAAGCATTCTGTGAATGACATAGACTCTTCTGTGGAATATATTAATATATTACTGTATATCCACATTTTCATGGAATGGTACTGTGGGAGACTGAGCAAACACTCTTTTGGCAACTTAGCGGAACAGCTTCTAAAGGCTTTGCATGCTTGCTGCTTTAAGCTGCTTTTTCCCCCTTTAGTAGTTACAGTAGTTATTATTTGAAAAAAAAAAGAAATTAAAATATATGCCCTTAAAATTACCAAAAGCACTGTAAGGATATTGTCTTGACAGTGTCTACTGATCTGAAGTCATTAGGAAATATTTAGACAGTGAAAATTATCAAGAGATAATTTACCTTTCAATTATGATAAATAGATGTGATTGGTTGCCATTTGTGTTCTTTTGCAGAACTCTGATAAGAAAAATGTTCAGTTTGTATTTAAGCAAACAGTGAACGACATTTGCAATCAACCAAAAATTCGTCTATCAAATTAGGGCTGAAAATTACTGTTAAAGAGTGTTGCAGTATGTCTGGTGGCTCCCTTATCAGGACTAGGGCTTTCTCATGGAGTACAGTATGTTAATACTTACCTATAAAAGTCATCTGTTAACGGTTTTTGAAAAACCTCTCTTTCAAATGATTTGAGTAATCCTCATATTTTCATTTTAAACTATATATAAGACTAATTTTTTTTTCTGAGGAAAGCATTTGGGGTTTTAGTTCTTTTTCTTAATATAAGAAAAATTGTATTTTTTTTAAAGTATCTTCAGACTGAATCTTTTATGCACCAAAGTTGGCTTTGAAAACGAAAATTAAATCACTTTCTTGCTTGGTAAGCAAGAAGCCATATGGATTTTTTTTAACTTACAGAAATGGAAATATGTGTAACTTGTTAGTATTGTATCAAACAAATGTTGCATAGAGATAATAGAACATTGCTTGTAAATAATTTGGCAGATTTGTAATATATTTTTATATTATGAAATGTACTGTAGATGTTTTTCTAGAGGCATGGAAAATGTATATATTATGGTAGAAATAATATTGAAGGATATTGTAATTCACTAGTGCTGCCAGAGGAATTGTTAATAAAGCACCTTCTTTAACAATAAATGTCTTTTGCAGACTTAAGGGACTATGTACTACTGTTAATATCTAGAAGAACAAAACACATTGAACATCCTTCCAGAAGGTCTTTTAGGGAGGACTTGTACCCATAATAGAATTATGGCACTCATTTCTGACAGTGACCGTGAAATCAATTATTTCCTTACTGTTGGAAGGACATATTGTAAAGTATATGGTTATTTGCAGTCAAACTGCAGAAAATACTCCTGATTGAGGAGTTTTCACTTTACTACAGTAAATAGAAAAACCAGCAGTTTTTAAACTAAATTTTTTAAAGAAGTAATAATAGAATTAAGCCTTTGGTTCCAAAATGGGGAAAGTTCATGATACATTAATCATTTGTCATTTGCTTAAAAAATTTTGAAATAAAAATTACAGGAAAATGTATTCGTTACAATGAGTTTAAGAGCTATATAATGAAATGAGTCATATAAAACTAAGTAAGTGCAAATAAAAGCACTGCTATTAAGACATTCTGGAATGGTTGTTTAATAAGGGTATTATCAATGTGATCTGTAGCAATTGTGATTTTATTTTTTAAAAGAAAAGTAGTGTATTTTTTTGTTTTCTGAATTTGCTCAAGCACTTCATCGATTGCTTTATTTTGTGTCTACAAAGTAATCTTCAATCTCCTTTGTTCTTTTTTTATTTTGACTTGTTACGAAATTGCCAAATAGAAATGTGTCAGATATATAGTTGGTACTTGTATTTTTATTTTATTGCTTCATGTTCTTGTAATTTTTAATTGACTGATGATTGTAGACCTTGGCCTGAGTATTTTTTCAAATAAAACAAAAGCAAATGACATTTAGCTTCAGAATTGTAACACTTCAGTTTTTAAATGACATCAGAAAATGTACATCTAATACTTTTCCTATAGGCACATGAATAAATTTATCCTTTCTAGAAGGAAAAAGACCCAAATTCCATGGTTTTTGATTGGCCTCTAGTACTCACTTAGATCTTTTGCTGCTTGTCTGCCTTGATTCCTTATTATTATTAACACACCAGAGAGAATATGGATTTAAAATGGGCTAGTTTTATAACTTGTTATTATACACATTAGTTATCTTTGGAAAATGAGTGTGAAATTATAATGTTCATTAATTAATATCTATATGTCTCTTTTATCCCCGCCCCATATATGATACAGGTGTAGCAAGGCACCTGAAATAATCTTTTATCTAAAATTGTTTTATTTTGACGTTGAGTGAATTACAGCCCATTAGCATGCCCATGAATTTGTATATTGCCTGTGAAAGATTTCTATCTATAGGGGCAGAGTTGAGTAGTGAGTCTTATGCTCTTCCAAGTCTAACATAATTACTGTCTGGCCCATAAAAAGTTTACCAATTCTTGGTCTAGTTGCTAAAATATTTTGGCAAAATAAATTTAGAACACACAATTTGCATTTAAGTTAATCTAGTATTAATCTTGAAAATAAGCCAGTACTTTAAAATTTAGTAAAAGTTCTTTAATATTTACAGTATGCATTGCTATACTAGGCTTTTTTTTAAAATCCTGAACTTTACATTAGATTCCTTAATCCTTATAAATAGCTAAACATTTCACCATTTATGTTTGTATTTTATTTTCTTGAATAGGATTAAATAAGATTTTGTAAATCAGATAATGTTTAAAACCATATGGCACATCTGCTTTATCTAAGAGAATCTTGAAGTGGAAAATATTGTAAAATTTAAAGTTGTTTATTTTTCTAATAAACTTACCTTTCATATATAAATGTTCCGTAAAGTGGACCCACATTATTACTTGGAATTTCAGTGAAAAGAAATTAAGATGGATACAGTACTTAACCCTCAGTTCATTAAGGGTTCTTTTGGTGCTCTCATTGAAAGCATTGATGATCGTGTCAGTAAACATTTTGTGTGTACAACTTTTTTCCCTTTTGCATCTTAATAAAAAATGTTTTAAATAATGGAAATATTCTCTTAAAGAATATATTTACTGCAAGTCTATAATGTATACTTTATTGTTCTTCTAATTTTTTGTTTCACAATAAAGAATTAAGTATTTTTAAAATCAAATATGGAGAAAACAAGATTTAAGTAATTAGAGTACCTGAAGGAAACATTCTGTTTAGTTGCAGCTCTCTCTTTTTAAGAAAGTTTTACCTTCTACATGAATTCTTTAAAAAGCAAATAGGTATTCTTAGCTTAGGCAGATTGTATCTTTCTCTGTCATAAAAGCCTGAGTGGCAGACCTTCAAAAATATACAGTCTTTAATAAAAATATGTTTGAATCATTGGTCATTTGAAGGTTTGCCCCCAAACTTTTTTTTTTTAAGAGAATGGTTTTATTTTGGGGGTTTCATGCTAAAACATGTTTTCTATTCTAACAAAATTAACTGTGTGAGGGAATAAAATCGTTATAAAAAATTTCCTCTTGATTCATTTTTCTTTATTCTTAGTCTTGTGGGAGATTTGCAATTCTAAAAGAATTTTTTATTTTCAGAATATTTTCTCTGGCTTTTCTAATGGATATAAGAGCTGTAAAAATGTAAAAATGACTACAATATTTTTAATCTAATTTTTGGTTTTACAGACTTATATAGACTGATTTTCTCAATTGAATAACATTTGAATGGAATAATATTGAAGCCCAGATTCCCTTTTATGACCATATTCTTTGTACACTGTCAGACAGCTTAGCACAGTGTTGTAGAGGTAATTATGTATACTAGAAGTGTAAAGTGTTTTCGCCTTAGTTATGTGTGGTGATACATATCACAAATTAGGGTCTCAGATATTTTTTGAATAGGTATTTATTACACAGTAAGAAACTTTGTAGCATTCAAGTGGTAAAACACTGGTAGAGCTGAAGTGACAGACAAAAATCAGTGTGTTTATGCTGTTGTTACTGTTAGAAGTCAGAACTGACCCATAGCTGACCTTGCAGTGAGTTTTCAGAGACAGTAGAAACTGTATGGGAAAAGATTGCCCATCTTTGTGCTGTGAAGCAGCTGATTGATTGAAACTATGTTTTCAGGTTTGCAGCACAGCTCCTCACCACCAGAGCTCCTTTGATTATGCTATAGAACTTAATTTTCTGTATAAATTGTGATTTGAACCTTATAAAGGAAATTAACAGTTTGTCCAAACATTCTCAATTTAAATAAGTCTTATTAATGCTATATTATAATCAGTTGTTGAAATTTTTATTTAATTTCAATTGAGTTTGTTAAAAATATGGTTAATCTCTTGTTTTCATTATAAAAAAGACTTCAGATAGTTTTATGATACAGGTAGCATAATATACATAACATTTCCTATGTGTTAAACTTTCCTACAATATTTCCCTAATTAGACTTGATCTAAGTTGCATACTATGAAAGAATTCCTTATTCTTTGCTTTTCTTTAACTCACTGATTTGGTTGCAAAACAGTTTGTCCCCCAAAGGTTACTTGTTTTGGGAGCATTTTCCTCTTTTGTTGTTAGGTGCCGTCAAGTTGAGTACAATTCGTTGTGACCGTATGAACAAAAGGTCTGAACTCTGTTCTATCCAGTACCATCCTCACACTTTTTGACACAGAAGAGCGCATTGCAGCAGTCACCCTGTCAATCCACCTGTGTGAGGGTTTTCCTCTTTAGAAAAGCCTAACATGGGGGTGTGAGGGTGTGTGTGTGTGCGTGCGTGCGCGCGCACGCTCGCTTGCACACAGGCATGCTTGAAGTAGAGTTGCTAAAGAAGAGAGTTTAAAACTAGTCAGATTGGTTATGAGAGCTTACTCTAGAGTCGGACCCAGTAGTACAGACATTGATCTCTGTAGAGTGGATTAAAAAGTAAAAATGGCTCCTTTTAAAAATTAATTTGGAACAAATAAGACTCTTCAGAATTTATTCTGAGCTTCTAGTATTGGGTGATTTTTGTTTGTTTTTAAGTGAGAAATAATTTTACTAATTTTTGTTGAATATATATGTATGTGTGTGTATATAACATTTGCCACTTTATTTTTCACCTCTCCAGCTGAATGAACTCAGTTTCATTAGTTACTGTGAAACCTCCAAATTACCTTAAATAGAAAAATGTAAATTTGCGCCCTCATCTACCTGGTAACCACTAATAAACTTTGGTTGCTAAATATTTTTGCTATTTCCTGTAAGTTAAATCATTGTATTCTTTTGTTTTATTTGCTTCATTTAGGTTAAGCTTTTTAAAATTAATTTTAATGAATGTTTAAAGAGATTTTGGATTTCCATCCATTCATTGTTGCACTTTTTTGCATTTTATGTTTTAAAAGTTCATATGGGCTATAGAATGTAGTATGGTTTTTATGACTGAGTACTAGCCATTGCATGTTTATATTTTTAAACTGTTTTTGTTTATCCATCTCTTAAATTAATACTTTTGTTGAAACTAATGTGAGTAATTCTTCAATGAGCATTGATATACAAGTATCTGGTTTTTGAGTCCTTGCTTTCAGATTTTGAGTATATATGTAGGAATAGATTTGCTAGGTCATATGGATAATTCAGTTTTAACTTTCTTAGACTATTGCCCAGCGTGTCCAGAGTGACCATACCGTTTTGCATCCCTACTGGATTCCAGTTTTATCTTGTCCATTCTAGTAGATACATTAATTTCATTTTATTTTCTCTTAATGCCTTGACAGATTATTTCTTGCATATTTTTAAGTTTTAATTTTATTATTTTAGGTTTTTTTATTGTTGCATTTTCTGTTTCTTGGTTCTTCCTCTTTTTTAAAAAGTTGTGTGATTTGAGTGAAAACTTAACAAATTTCATTCAACAATTCACATTCATTTTGTTTTGGGGATATTGTTTGCAGTCCTTGCAATGTAACAGTTTTCTTCCTACTACTCATCATTTCCTGTTTCCATTAGTCCTCCTTTTCTATCCTTTCACGACTTGAGAACTTTGATCTTGGACAAATACCATACTTTGACTTTATAAGATTAGATGGGCTGCCAACAAAACATTAGGTCTGTCTTGAAGAGGGTGAAACCAAGTCTCTTCTTGGAGGCTGGGACATACTTTGGGCACTAGGCCAGTAGAGACCAGTCCTTGGAGAAGGACATCATGCTTGGAAGGGTGGAGGGACATCACAGGAGAGGAAGACCCTGGATGAGATGGATTGATACAGTGACTGGGGCATTAGGGGTTGGTGTGTCAGAATTAGAATGGCTCAGGACAGGTCATGCTTCAGAGCTTCCGTACATAGGTCGCAGGCGACTTGACATAACGAGGATTAGGTTCTTTATGGAGTATCTACCTCCCTTTTATTTAGCTGAAAGCTGAGCCAAGGGGCTGACTAAGTGCTAACAGATGAGAAAGAGCCATGGTCTCCAGTATTCTGCCAGCTTCTCTCATTACCAGTAAACCTAGTTTTTATGGTTATGAGTTTTGGCATTTGGATGCAAAGTTTTTAATTTGTTTTGAATTGTTTTCCACTGTGGGTGAACATACACAGCAAAACATACACCAGTTCAAAACATTTTAGAGGTACAAACCCATGACATTGATTACATTCTTTATTCTGCAACTATTCTCTGTGGAGTACATCGTTCTTTTTCTGTTGTTATAGATTCACTGCCCCTATGCTTTCTATCTGACATTTGTTCATGTCACTTGATTCCAAATAGTTTGTTTTAATAGAACACAATAGTTATGGCAGAAATCCCTTACCAATTAAACTATGGTTTTAGTTTTTTTATTTTTTTATTTTAGTGTGTGTGTACCGTCAGGTCAGATCTGTCTGGGACAGGAGGAGATTGTCCCTTCTTCTCCAGCAGAGCATCTGGTGGATTCGAACCACTCACTTCTGGGATTGCCACTAGGCCACCAGAGCTCGCTGGTAGTTTGGTTTTAAGAAGACTTTGGTAGATGTTTTTGGGTTAGGGTTTAAAGATTATTTTGGGAAAATGAATTCCATGATACTTTTAAGTTCTCTTTTTCCTTCTCTTGATCAAGATTCTTATGTTGAATTTCTTTGACCAGAATATTCTGTAATGATAGTTTGGCACCAGCCAGTTTCATTGAAAAAAATTGGCTGCTAGTTTTAGCATTATTTGTTTATTATTTTTTGTGCATGTACTGTCAAATCAGATCTGACTGGTACAGGAGGAGATTGTCCCTCCTTCTCCAGCATAGCATCTGGTGAATTTGAACTGCGCACTTCTGGGATTGCAATGCAGCTTCTTACCACTAGGCCA